AGTGGGCAATGGATAGTGCCAAGGACCTGGAATTAAGAAGCTCATCTTCATGAATTTAAATCTGGCCTCAGACACTTGCTGTGTGACCCTAGACAAGTCACTTAACCCTGGTTTTCTCAGTTTCCTTATCTGTAAAATGAGCTGGAAAAGAAAATGGCAAACCACTCTGGTATCTTTGCCAAGAAAACCCCAAATGGAATCACAAAAAGTAGGACATGACTGAAAAACAACTGAACAACCACAATACATATCATCTGGATTAGGGGCTTGCTTTCCAAAATACTTTGCCATTTGTTTCTCACAATTTACCTTTATAAATTAAGGTCATAAACCTTAGTATTATTAGTAAATAGCCTTTAAAGTATGTAAAACACTTTATCTTATTTGATTGTCAGAATGACCATATCAGGTAAGTACTACAGTTATTATAATCTTGATTTTATAAATCATGAAACTGAGGCTTAGACAGATTATGATTTATTTATCATTATAAAGCTCTTCAGTATGAGAAGAAGGATTTGAATCTGGGCCTTCTTTACTCTGTCTTTTACTCACTGTTTCTTAATAATAAGAATTTGAACTCCAACTTTTAGACATATGATATTTTCTTTTGCTGCTAGTTTTAAAAAATATTGAATTACAGTATAGAATAATATTATCATTGGTATTTCTTCTGTTGGGTGCCTACAGCAAAATTCTGCATGAGTATATCAATGAATCATGATCACTAACCCACACTGTTTCTTTCTAAGAAGGTTCCCATTGCTTTGCCTACTTGCCAAAGGGATGACTTAAAAAAATGTTAAAAATCATTTTGTCAAGATTGAATGCATTTTGAACCTAGCCAAGATTCTGTTGATGAGGATCTGTCCTTATTTAAATAAGTAGCAGGGAGAGGACTTCCTTTTCACATTCAAGTTATTTTCCGACCCTTTCAAACTCACAGTTCAAGATAATGCTTGACAGAAATCGCTGCCTACATATTAAAAACATTGTTCCGTGATAAAATTTCATAGTAGGGAGAGATCTCAGCAGCCAATTAGTCCAGACCATAGCCCTAAAATAATCTCCATCATATCATATATGACAGGAGTTCATTTAGCCTCAGTTTTGAAGACACTGGTTAATGGATAGACATAGCTCATATCAACTTCCCTCCTAAATTCCATTGCTCTTCTTTTGCTTCCATTTATATAATACAAAAGGTTATAGTCATATATTTGGGAAACAGTTTGATTATTTTTCATTCTCTCTTCTTTTAAAAAAAACCAAACATTGGAAATATACAGAAATCAAATGTCGGTGGGATTTGGCACAGCACTATTGATTATGGAAATAAAATTGAGGGGAATTTCAGAACACTAAAAATGCCAGTGAATAGCATGGTTAAGAACCCTTGCCTTAAAGGCTATTTTTTTCTAATTCTTTAGAATTAAATTACTAGAATGCTTTACCTCCTGAGAAATATGATCTCCTATGTCATGAATGTCAAGGGTAAAGAAAATAATTCTTGAATTTCCCATTTATTTATGCATATATTCATGTAAAATAATGGTAAAGTTTCAGGTCACTGAGTTTGGATGAATGTATTTGCAATTTAATATACTATTTTTCATAACTATTTTCCTGTTCATACTTGTGATTTCAGCAGTACAGGAACTTCCAGTGTGAAAACTCCCTGAAACTTCTCTTTAACTTATTACCATCTTCAATATTTGCCTATAGGACATAGCAGTTCAGTAACTTGCCCATGGTTTCAAGTCTAGTAAATGTCAGAAATAGGGCCAGTTCTCCCTGAAGCTGCCCTCTATTCACCATGCCATAACACCCTTCCTTCATAGGTATGCACATTTTTAAAAAAATAATGAACATATTCAAAGAATTCATTCAATCTCTACTCAATTTCCATTTTTTAATAGATATGCCTAGATGATAAAGCAGTTGATTGCTCACTCTCTGAGGTCACTTCAGCCAGTCAACACACGCTTACCAGGCACCAGTGGTACTGTCACTTTGTGAAGCATCTAGTGGGTACTAGATTTCTCCTTTTTTTCTTAGTTATTGATTGACTGTACAGCCAATGTGACTTAGCAGGCAACTAAATTCTACGTTTCCTTTTCCTTACCTTCAAAACTGGAGTAATAATTATACACACACATGTATGCATATATGTGTATACATACACACATATACATATTTATCTATCTATCTCAGACATACATGTTAAGAGAATACAAATGAATTCAAAGCAGTTTTGTAGATAATAATTTATGATAAATTAAATAACATTTTATGGCACTTTAGAATTTCAAAAGTATTTTAGGTACAATTTATCCTCAAGAATTCTCTAGTGAAGTAGACAATGCAAGCATTATTATCCACACTTTATGGATGAGGAAATTGAGGCTTAGAAGGGAGGCCTAAGGTCATACAACTATTGACATCACTCATCTTATTTTTCCATGATATTTTCACTGATACTTATAATCTGAAATAATATTTTTTCTTTTTTAGGCAATTGGGGTGAAGTGACTTGCCTAGGGTCACACAGCTAGTAAGTGTCAAGTGTTTGTTCTGAGGCCAGATTTGAACTCAGGTCCTCCTGACTTCAGGGCTGGTACTCTATCCACTGCACCACCTAGCTGCCCCTATTTTTAGTTTTCAACTTTTTTATTTTTTTATTTTTTACTTAGGCAATTGGGGTTAAGCGACTCACCCACTAGTAAGTAAGTGTCAAGAGTCTGAGGCCAGATTTGAACTTAGGTCCTCATGACTCTAAGGCTGGAGCTCTATCCATTGCGCCACCTAGCTGCCCCGATATTTCTTTCTTTAAAATGCATAGAACAATTTCTACCTCTTATGTGCTATTTTTATATTCTAATTTATTTTGTAGTAAGTGTATAGTATTTGAGATGCAAATTTGCTTTTTTAAAATGTTACTGTCCTAGGATGCAAACTCAATGAACACAATGACCATATCTTAAGTATCCTTGTTTTTCCCATTGTACCTGTGTCAGAGAGATTATGCATGGGCGGTGCTTAATAAATGATTGCTGTATGAATGCACAAGTGAATGAATGAAAGGTCAGAGTTTTAACCCAGGCTTTTAGATTACAATTCCAGTGCTTCCATGACATGATGTAAGACCAATACAACACCATAGCAAGGGCACTAGAGTTAGAATCAGAAAACTGGGACTTTAATTTTAGCTCTGCAAATTACTACGGTGTGATCCATATGATAGGACCCCTATGCTAGTCATTTCACATCTGGAATGTTATGTTCATTTTTGGGTGATATATTTTAGGAATGGCATCAATAAATGAGAATATTCAAAGGAAGGTCACCAGGATGAGGAAAGCCCTCAAGATTCCACGTGTGATTCAGATGAGGGAATGCTGTGTTTAATCTAGAGAAGAGAAGGCAGAAGAACATGATTTCTATCTGTCAGATGGAAGAGGAATTAGATGTTTTCTGTGGCATCAGAAGACAGAACAGGAAACAATCAGCCAAAATTGCAAAGAGATAAATTTAGCTTAATGTAAGGGGTGGAGGGAAACACATATAACTCTCCTATTAGAGCTTCCCAGAATGAGGGGTCTGTATTAGGAGCTAAGAATGATAATATTAGTAGTTCCATAGAACAGTGGTAGCCAACTCAAGTAGAAATGAGGGTTACTGTATACATATGTATCCTTGTGGGCTGCATATTAACTTAGAAAACCACATATATTTCTTTCTTTTTTTTTTATTACTACATTAACACACTAAAATCAGATAGGAACTACATTTTGATCTGGTTTAGGCAATACTAGAAAGTGTTGTGGGCCACATGGGCAGCTTACAGGCTGCTCTATTATAGACAAAGAGTTTTGAATTGGAAGCCTGGAATATCTCAGTTCAAATCTCACCTCTGATATTTACTAACTGTGTCACTGTAAGTAAATCATTTAACTTCTCAGCCTCAATTTCCTTAAAGGTAAAATGAGAGAATTGGATTAGATGCTTAATAATGTTCCTTCTAAGTATAAATCCTATCAACTATGAATGCTAATTTCTGTGTCAAATAGAATTAAAATCCCATAGCAAGCACTTTATTTTATTATGGATTCAATTATCAGTTAAATCATGCCTTCTATGCTATAGCATGTTGAACAACATATATCTCAATGGGTAGAAGTGAAATGGTTATTATTATTGGTGGGTAACAATAACATTTATGTCAGATATAATTTGAGCTGAATGTGCATGCCTCATATATGAAACAATATGTAAGGATATTTATTGCTCATGAAACACACATGTATTTGTGAAAATGATTGAGCCACAATACTATGTTAAGATATTGATCAAATGATGATAATGGACCCAGTAAGCAATAATATTGGGGCTGGTTGTTTTAGAGGTAAGTACACTCCCAACATCTCTTGTCATTTGGAAGAAGTATTTACATTTAAGTAACTCGATTAGCCAAGTGATTTGGATAAATGAACACTGTATTAAATTACCTCAAGCTTAAAAAAAAGCAATACTCTAAGCTATTTCATGCAAAATTGTTTCCAAAATTATATTGCTATGAAGAATATATTAATAATACAATACAAGAACACGTGCGTTTTAGGAGAGTTGATCCTCATTGCAGCAAGATACGTTGCATAATGGAACTGAAACACTGCATTATTCAACACCAGAATCCTCTGGTGTTGAAAAATATTAAAATCGTCATGAACAAAGCTAGACACAAGTGTGATTAACAAAGTTATTCTGCTGGACATCCCAGTCAACCAAGAAGAATTTCTTATGGTTACTTTTTTTTCATCAAAAGGAAAAACAAAACAAAACAATTTATTGGGGATGTCACAGCCTCTGTTTTTCCTTTGTCTTTTTTGTTTTTAAGTAGGATAATGTTCATCCTGGCCTATGGTGAGTATCACCTTTCCTTAAAGAGTCCACCTGGTGTACATTTTTCTTCCTATTTGATACTGACAAGTGGATCTTACCTTCCTGACTCAAATGTGAACCAAGTTGAGTCACGACCATATCTCCTCAACGAACTAAGGGGCCACATCACCAGCTTGACCTTGGCATTGTGAATATCCCAGAGATAGATGTTTTCATGTGTAATCTGCATTGTGCATTCCCCATAAATATCTAGATTTGGTGTAGGCATAAGATACACATTGAATCGTTCTGGAAAGGAAAAAAAAAGAGATAATGGAGGTAAGATGAAAACAGTAATTAACAATTTATGATTTCACTGCTTTTACTTATACTTATCATAATGTTCAGAAATCATTCATATCTACCCATACTATAACTTTTTTGATGTTTATTATTGACCAGAATTTTTAAAGTATTTCTGTCTTTCACAGGTATCTACCATGTATTATTTTAGATTATAACTTTGGGTGTGTGACATACCACCCTCATTATTACACTTTTTCAATCTCCATAAAATGATAAACTTTAGGAGCCCAGGGAATAGTTCCTATTTAAATGGTTTAGTTTTCCAGGGCTTAGCACAATGACTTTTATGCAATAGTTTTTAAAACATGCTTTGTTTGATGAGGGCACTAGGTGGTTCAGTGGGTAAAGTGCTGGGCCTGAAGTCAGGAAGACTCAACTTCCTGTTCAAATCTGGACTGAGACATTAACTATCTGTGTGACCCCAGGAAAGTCACTTAAACCTGTTTGCCTTAGTTTCCTTATTTTATAGATAAGGCAATGGAGAAGGAAATGGAAAAGAAAGCTCTTTGTTAAGAAAACCCCAAAATGGGATCACAAAGAGTTGGACACAACTGAAACAACTGAATATTTGATGAATTTAAATAAATGTCTATATGCATATATAAACACAGAGACATATATGTGCATACATATATGTCTATGATTTCACTGAGAAAAAATCCTAGGATGAAAATCCCTCCACCAATTCAGATGGTCAACTCATCTACGTTGTCTACTCTTAGAGAATTCTCTGGGGTACTGAGAGATTATTAAGTGACCTGTTCATGGTCACACAACTAGTATGTGTTATAGGTAGTATCTGAACCTAGATCTTAACTAGACCATGACCATGCCTCTTCTTAAGTTCATTTTAAAATATATCTGTCCAGCATTTTTTTATTTTAGGTGATTAATATAATAATTATTTGAAATAAAATTTTATACAGACTGTATCATAAACTTAAGGTGAAATATACCCTTGTGCCACAAAAGATACTTAATAAGATATCCAAAGTAACTCACAGACAGTTACCTGGAAAAATATGAAATTGTTTTATTCTATATGAACAACATACATGTTCAATATGAAGCATTTGAGTCCACTTATTGTTTTCTGTATTTTCCATCAAGGGACAGTATTTTTATTGAGTAGCCCAAAGTGAGAAAAATAAATTGTTGCTTTCCAGGTTTTTCCATGCATGGCAATCTGAGAGGAGAACTCGTTTTAAAAATGTGAATCACAACCACAGTTTTGTAATATTCTAGGATATTTCAAGCGATGTACACAAATCACCTTAACAAAATTCAATGAATTTTAATTCAATTTCCCTTAAGAAATAAATATAGGTCACAGAGTACCTTCTTAAGTAAGGGGAAAGGAAATGGTGGAGTGTTGCAAAGTCAAAGATAAGTTGTTACAATAAAAAAAAGAATTAGAATTACCAGCAGATATTATTAGTTGAGACCATTTTTAACTGGAAGTAGCATTCTAAGTGCAGAATTGTAAGATTAATTATTCTGGGAGGTGCACAAACACAGCTGGAAGAGAAGTGGTTTGTCTAGGAATATAATGCTTATTGCCAATAAGGATTTCAGAGTGTTTTTACCCCAAAGACTAGTTTTGGCCAGTATTAGAGTAGGTCTGACTGAATGGTATTATATAGACATTTTTAATAAGGATTTTTGATAATAAAGACTAAAAAATGACAAAGTTTAGATACAATGAAGTTTAACATAAGGATGAGCACATAGTCCAGAAACTATAGAGCTATCATTTTTATGTTCTTATCTTTGAATTTTTTTAAGAAGTAAAAAATCAACTCAGATTTTATTAAACATCTTGTTCCATAAAACATATATAGAATCCATTAAACTGTAAAATGGCATTTCACATTTAGATCAGTTCCTTCTAAGATACAAAATAAGAATGAGGGCTGATTACATGTTGCATTTCAAAAAATACTAAAAAACCTAAAAAATAAACTGTTCTCCATCCAACAGATTTAAGAAATAAGTAACAAACACATTCAATATGAAATGTATCATGTTTTATTCCCACCCAATCTCAACACCTAAAAGTCGATGAAATCACAGACAATAAAGTCAAAAGAACTGACTTCATGTCACAGATATTCAAATAGACTGGGAACCCAAAAAATTGAGTCAAGAAAAGATATAAAATCTGGACCATAAATTTTCTTCCTTTCCTCAGTATCTCTTTGAGGATACCTATGCTTTCTATTGTTAATTATATTATTCACAATAGATGACCAAAAACATCTAGAGATATTAATATAATAATGCAACACAATGGTATTGTGTTTTGTCATATTATAGTTTAATAATATTAATATTTTAATGCTATTCATATGCAGAGATACTAATATCTCTAGATATCTTGGATCCTTTATTGCGGATAATGTGGTTGTAATATCACTGAAAGAAAAACAAGCAACCAGAGGCTCCAAATATTCTCCGCCAGTTCCAGAATCTAAATATTTTCATTTGAGAGTCTGTGCCAAAGAACAAAGAAACACTAGCACTTCACTGAATCACAGAATTTCATAGTTGAAAGCAATCTCAGAGGTCATTTACTCCAGTATATACATAAACAAGAATCCCCTCTAAAATATATCTAATAAGTGGTCTTCCAGCCTTTACCTGAAGCTCTCCTGTGCTTCCTGAACCAGCTCTTCTGATATTTGGATACTTCTGACTCTTAGGAAGTTGTTCTTGTTATTGTTGCTTTCCCTAACATCAAACCTAAATTCTTTCCCTTGTAACTTCCACCCATTGCTTCTCATTTTGCCTCTGGGGCTAACCAGAAGAAATTATTCTCTCATGATTTGACAATCCTACAAATGTTTGAACTCAGCTAACATACACTTCTTCTTACATTTCTTCTCTTTTTTCCCCTCCATGCTAAACAGGTCCAGTTTCTTCAATAACTCTTCACATGACATAAAATGGAATTCCTTCATTATCCTGTTTGCACTTTTGGAGCACTCTCCAGCTTATAAATGTCCTTCCTAAAAATGTGAGGTACAACACCAGACATGATATTTTACCTGTGGTCTAATCAGGGCACAGTACAATGTGACTATCATCTCACTTGTCATGAACATTATCCTGCTCCTAATGCAGTCCATGTCACATTAACCTTTAAGGTTGCCAAATCACATTGTTGATTCTTATTGAGTTTGTAGTCCACTAAAATATTCAGAATTTTTTAAGGGTCAGTCTTTCTGCCACAAGGCTCTTTACACTCTTGTCCATCCTTGTCCACTTAGTCACCAAAGTAATTTTTCTAAAGCCCACGTGTGATCATGTCATTCTCCTCTGCTCCCCTCAAACACACAATAAACTTTAGTGCCCAGTGTTCCTTGACAGCAGAGGTTCTCTTGACTTTCCCCTGCTCAGATGCCCAATTCCCTTCACTGTCCTGGGGTAAAAGTTCCTGGGGTTGGGGCAGAAGCAGCCTCCCAACCTAGCTAATCCCAGGGCTTGCCACTTACTGTTTAAGAGGATCTAGGACCTAGCCTGGAGGTGTTGACTCTTCACAGGGACCAAATCTCATCCTGGGACTTTTCTTCAGATCTTCTCCTTTACCTGGGAGAACCCTTGTTCTGCCCCTACTCTTATTTATTTTTACCTCTCTACGTTTGCCTTAAGGTGCTATTTCATCTCTTTTGTGGAGGAAAATCTTGAGAGCTTGGAATTTTCTGACCTACCGTACCATCTTCCCAGAATCCTCTTCCATTCTCATATTTTTTACTGGCTATTCACACTTACCTCAATTTGTGGAATAGCCCTCTCAAGGTAACTTAATGATATGTAATGAAATTCCCTAATCAACTGGAAGAGACCTCCTGTCTAGAATGACATCACTTTTTAAAGAATGGGTGAATGAATAAACAAAGCATTTATTAAGTACTTACTATGTATAAAGCACTGGGGATACAAATAGAAAAGAGGCTTTCCTCTCAAGCAGTTCACATTCTAATGGGGGAGACAACATGAAAGTTTTCAGCTGCAAGTCAGACAGAAAAGTCCCATGGCCCTTATGGTGCAGCAGTGAAGCAAATGTTAATGCATTTTCTTTAATGTCACTATTTGCCATCATTATTCCCATGGCTTTTGGGTTTAGAGTCTTGGAGTTTACCAGGATCTGAGGGGACATGGTAACCAAGGTGGTAGTGATGGTTTCACTCATCTGGCCCATGTTTCCTCCTCCTCCTCCTCTCTCTTTCTCTCTGGGTACTTAGCTTCAGCTAGGCCAGCTCACCTGCCCTTGGGGTGGCATTTTTCTGGCAATTGATGTGTATGGCTGTATCCTCTCCACATAAGTTGATTTCCCAGAAGATAGCAATGAGGTCCGGGTTAGATTCAGAACAGGTGGTCTAAGGGATGTCATCACTCAAATTGGGCTTAGAAACTCATTGATGATAGTTGGCCACTAGTTGTAGTGATGAGGAAGGTGGGCCTCTTCTCCACAGTAATTTTTCCCTTCAATGATGGCTCTATGGGTTAGGCTAGAAATGGTTATTATGGCCCTGGGGAGCACTCCTATTCCCAGATCTTTTGGGTTCAGAGTCCTGGGCTTTCTCCATTGGGATCTGATGGTGGCCAAGATGGTGGGGGTGGTTTGACTAGCCTGGCACATGGCTTCTCTGCTTTTGTAAAAACATATTGTCTCCCTGGGTAGACTTTAAATGTCCTTGTTCCTGGAAGAATATTTTTTTTTATCATGGTATCCCCAGAAACTAGAACACTGCGAGACACATAGTAGGTGTTTAATAACGACTTGAAAATTAATTGATTCTACACAATAGCCCTTCAATACCTGAAGATGGGTATCATATCTTCACTAAGTTTTCCGTTTTCTGGGCTAAAAATCTTCGATTTCACCTGATTCTCATATGGAACAAACTGGAGGCATTTCCCAATGCCACTTGCCCTGGCTA